CAGCAGGGGGATGCTGAACTGAAATACCCAGTACAATTGAAATAGTATCAATAGTACATAATGTTAAAATGCTCCAGTTGCATTCTTGAGTATTTAGTTTGCCAGCTGATTTTTTTACTGTAATCTTAACAAATATTTCATAACTATCATTTCATTCAATATAAAATGAAAGCAGAATATAATCTGAGCTGGAAGCTATTTGCTATTTTCTGTTAATTTCATTTTCAAAAAGGGGGGAATTTGTTGAAACTGGCTTTTAGGAATAAGCCACTGTCATTTTGTTGTTGAGTACATCTCTCCATTTTTCTCTCAGAGAAACAAAGTTAGCTACTCATACGAAGGGGAGAATAAAGTTTTATTTCTACTTCCAATAAAAACATGGTTTCAGTATACAATACATATTGTACAGACATGTGCATTCATAAACTTTGCTTAACAGATGAGTTATGTATTTTAGATGTTCAATATTAGGTAATATTTAGTATAGAACAGACATTTTTGAGAGAATGCAAAGCCCAGCTTGGTATAAATTTATGCTTAATAATGTTCTTTGTTACTCAAGCTTTTTATTCTTACAGGGTGTGTTTATTTGAATCTAGACAGGTGAACACCTGCTGATGTTTCCACCATCATCTGGGAAAACAATATGCCACCTGCTTGTGACAATAGCAATAAAAGGATGGAGACATCATTCATTGAAAGAAGAGGGAGTGTTGGGGAAAAAAACCCTGAAACTGATATAATATTACTACTGTTGTATGGCTGATTTCAAGACTGGCAAATCTGATTACTTAAAATATAATTTCTTCTAGTTAATCAAAGAAGACTAGCATTTTTAAGAATATTTCTTTCCTTTTATTTAAACCTGTTACTCAAAACAGATTTAACTACATATGGTCAATCATCCCTTATTGTGCTATCACTAGACGACTCTCAATACTCTTCACAGTAAAGTGTTATATCTGAGCTGAAATTGTCTGATATAAAAACATGATAGAAACATTGTGAATGTTAGTAAAGGTTGATAGTGTGTGCTTCTGAAGGCTGATTCACTTATTCAGATCATACTAGAAAAAACATATCAGCCATCAAATATTTTTCTTTGAAGATGAATGTTTATATTTAAAAATTAAGGTGCAAATTTCTAATGAAAAAGTAGCAGAAGTTTTGTATTAAGTTGCAACCTAAGTTTAAAAGTAAGCTTGCAAATATTTTGTAAAGGTTCTTCATAATATTTATGAAGAGTTTATCATGATACTCACTAATCAAATCAAGTAACTGTACCTTTACAGTTTTACCTTTACCTTTACCTTCTGTACCTTTACAGAAATCTACACATGTCAACTTCTGGAAGAAGAAATGGTGGACCGAACACAGCTCCATGAAAAGTGGAGCCAACAACTGCAGCAAAGAATGAAGAGCTGGTGAGTAGACTGGCTCTTTGGAACCTTTTCAGACAAGAAGAGGACAGGAGATTGCACACATGTGCTACAAACATATGCTTCTCATGAGGAGGCCACAAGACAGTGGTCTCTGGCAGTTTTGAGCATTGGAAGACAATGGGAATAGCCACCTTGCTCACAACTGCGGTCGGCACCTTTTAAAGGACACCAAGTTTGCAAAGTTCCTTTTGTAATCACATTTGGAAATTGTTTGTTAACTACTTTTAAGCTATTACAGACCTTCAGATTGACAAGTCTGAAAATGGTGGGTGAGTTTGCTTTCAATTCTTAATGAAAGAAAGAATTAATCATAAGCTTAAGAACATTTAAAAAATGAAATAAACAGCAAAAAGTTAAATAAGACATTGATCTTAGAAAGTTATTAATGGATTAAGGGTCCAGATAAATTTGGAATAAGATTTTGGAATTAATTATAAAGAATCCTTCCCATGGAAAATAGATTTGTTTCAAATTTTGCAAAGCAAAATAAAACTAAGCAATTTTAAAAATTGGACACTAGAGGGAACTAAAGATTTTAGTTAAAGGAGAAGAATACACAAGCTTAATTAACAGCTAATTAACAAGGACATATAAAGTGGTGCCAAACATTTTAACATTGAAAATACCAAAAGACACTTTTGTAAAATGGAATCAGAAGTTAGTATCAACAGCGTCAATAGCGATGATTGCTTCTATCGATATACTGTGTCCAAAAGATGTTATGGAAGAAATTACAGATGAAGAACAAGTTTAATTTGATAAGACAGAGATGGCATTGAAATTATTTGGATCTACAAATGACAGGCTATGAGAATTACATGGAAAAGGATGTCTCATTGGACATATAAAAGTAACTGATTGTTGTTTTAAAAATGAAAAGGGAAATAAATCAAGAGAATGACCTGGATGATTTTTTATATTGGATTTACAAAAGAGGCTTGTAAAAACTTTGAAGAATCTTGTGAGAAGGGGCAAAGAAGAAATGAAAAGAAATCAAATTCTATGACATAATTTGAATGGACTAAAGATTAAGACTGTTAGAAGTAAAAGGAAGGAATATGAAGTTCATTTATTTGCTCAAGATTAAAATAAGATATGTTGTTATTTCTGGTAAACCTTAACAGACTTTCTGCTGACACTAGGACTGAAAAGATAATGCTTTATGGATTTGTCTATAGATAAGAGATAGATTATGAGATGAAGGAATCACTGCTTGTAAACTAAGAGGGGATAAAGATTTACAAAAACTTGTTGTTTTGAAGGTTGGAAATCACTTCTTTATATATTTCTTTTCTCATTATGGACCAGAAGTGAATAACCCACAACACTTCAGATGTTGCTGAAATTCACACCACCTTCACTATTGGTTATACTGGTTGGAGCTGATACTCAGAAAAAAAAATATAAGGCCTTACTTGGTCCATCCCTATCTTTCCACCTGAAAGAGCACCTGGCTGTTTTTTCATTCATTTCACAAGATTTTTCTGAGTGGTCCTGCAGTGAAGATAGGATCAACTATTCTCAATCCTTATCGCTACCAATAAAGAGGAATCATCAAGAAGATTTATAAACTCCTAGACCACAACTTGCTTTGAGTTACTTGCTCTCTCTGAATTGCTCTGTTAAGTCTAGTTCCTTACATTTCATTACCCAAAGAGATGGATATAGAGGCAAGTTGCATATCACAGACAGAAAGGGAAGGAGAGCAGTCATAAACATTGGCAACTATCACTTGTACAATCTTTTACAGGGTGATTGTGTAGAAACATTGTCTTCTGTCTCTCAATCACCATCTATCTCTGGGTAGCACAGCAGGAATCCCTGACTTTATGCTGCCAGAGGAATAATTCAGTTGAGCAAATAAGATCTGGTGGCTCCTCCTTCTATGAACAAGGCCATAAATTGTAATGCCTAGAAGGAGCAGCAAGCATTGTTTTCTCGCTCTTTTCAGCAGCAGAGGGCCAGTCCACCTGCCACACTTCCCAGTCAGGCACAGTGAGATTAAAATGGTAGAATTTCTTCTTTGTAAGAATCATATCTGATTGCAGAGACTCTCACTCAGACAGAATGAGAGTTCACACAGAATAAGATAAGAGACATTACATTTGTTTTATTCCTTGCAGAAGTATTCTCTACCTTCATACAATATTCAGTTCTTCTTTCTCTTAACAGAAAGCACTGGACAAATAATAGCTATTGCTCATCTTCCCTTTCTCCCTTTAGAATAGTTTAGCTGTGTGCCAAACCTAGCTTTTGAGGCACGGCAGAGGTTAATGGACTTCATCCATAAGGAGGGAGGAAGCAAAAGGCGGCTGTGGCTTGGAGAGCAGCTACCATCTCAATTTGCTGTCCTGGACTCTTTCATGGGGTGAATGGAAGAGTAGGCTAGTTAAGCTCCACATGTGTAGAAACCAGATTATTTATTATCCATTGCTACCCTCTATTTATTAAAGTCCTTTCACTGTCTCAACAGCAGGCTATATCAAAATACTATTGGATCAAGAACTCAAGTTAAGGACAGGAAGACGAAACTGTTCCCTCAGTTTTCAGCTCTGCATCTTCCAAAGGGGGAGAGCAAGGAAGAATCCGAAGGGGCTGTCTAAGCCTCTGCCTTCGAGGGACCTTCAGCCGGAGGGAGCGAGGAAGAGAATGGAGGGAAGGAACAGCGGCTGCCTTGTCTCGCACACTTTCGTGCCCTTCCTGCAAAGCGCCTAGGTCAGAGGGAAAGGCAGGAGAGAGATTCCGAGCGTCTCTCCGTCCACAGGATCTCTTCCTCCTCTCTTCATTTCTATTTTTCTTCCTTTCTTTTGCTGGAGGAGAGGAAAGGTTTCGTTTACTTCCTCCCACCCCCTCCGCGTTCACCACAGAAGTGGCCGCGGTCAGCTTTCTTTTCTTTCAAGCACATAATCGCCCGTTCTAGTTCTGACAGCCGCGCTTATTGTTCAGCGTTTGCTGGCTCCCGGTCCCCCATCCCCCAAAGCGGGTTCCCTGCTCGGCTGCTGCTACCAGTTGCAGAACCTGACGGCAGCCCTTTCCTGTCATTACACGGCGGCTGGTCACGGGGCCGTCTGCAGCTGCCCCCTTTCTCGGCTTCTATGCAAATAAAGGAAGAGCTTGGGCTGACGCGAGGCTTGGGCGGGGAGGCGACGTGAGGCGGGACCCGCTGGGGCTTAGCGGCAGAGCCGGGGAGGGTGAGCAGAGGAGGAGAAGCTGCCGGCTTCAGTGCGTGAGGCGAACTGGAGAGGGAAGGAGCTGGTGCTGTCCACCAGGCTGCTGGTGCTGAATCCGGGACTCCGCTCGGGGCTCTTGGCTTCGACTGCGCCGGGAGGCTTCCCCTCCCCCCTTCTCGTCCCCCACACAGAAACAACTTGGCAAAGGAGCTTATCGGACGTCAAGGAGATTCTCTGCTCCCTCATGCCCTACTAAACGTGGAAATTTCTTCGGAGTTTATCCTGGACTCTTGGGTTCCTTTCGCCCTCTACCTTTGCAACCTCTTACATTTCGATATTTTTATTTGCTGTTCTTAAACAGACATTGACAATAATTAGGTGCAATCTTTCCACAAGGGGAAATACAAAAGGGGCAGGACGGTTTTCCCCTTCCTTCGTGGACTTTAGTGACTTCAATCAGGTAAGGAAGAAACTGGACTTGAAACGCATTTCCCCTTTCTGATTCAAAATATTATTTCAGGAGAAGTGAGCAAAGTTTGGAGATAGCACAATGGAAAAAGAGAAAGTTAGAACCT